AACAATTTCACAAACCGAACGTGATTTTTTATCTTTGTCGTAAAACAAAATTCCAAAAGCAACTTTTCATTATTTTAAATAATCAATCGGATGGTATAGAAAAAAATTGTTTTAATGTTAAATCATAAAAATTAACTATTAAAAAATTGAAATTGTTATACCTTTTTTATTAAAAATCAAAAAATACATCTATTTCTCTCAGAAAAAAGTTTACATTTTTTAGAGTAGATTGAAAAAATATATATAAAATTCATAATTTTTTCTGCTTATGATTTTTTAAATTTCTGAAATCATCCCTTAACTTCTAGCCACCCTAACTCTGTTAATTTTAATAGTACAAGAAAAAGTCAATAGACTATTTTTGTGTAGAATTTTATGCTCTACAACTTTTTCTAACTCTTACCACTTTCAAGTTATCTTGAAAAACACCTTTATTTTATATTTTTTCACCCCTGTCCGGGGGTTGAAAAAAAATTACTATCACTTATTGTTATTATGTACTAACTTATATAAAAAGTTCAGGCAAGTTGACCCAATTGCGATTTAGACGCCAATTTAATTGGACTATTATCTAATTCTACCGGTAGTGCTTATAAGAACCTACTAAATTAATTTTGTAATTAAAATTTAACAGTTAGGCATCATCTAACTGTTTTTTTTTCTCAAATTAAGGCAATACAAATTGCTTTATAATATCAAAGTATGATCTTATCAAACGAATTGTGAGCTAAGTACTGAATCTTTACTCTGATTTGTTTGTTTACGTTTTGTTTTTATTTGTATTCCACGACTATCCGTACACACATTATAAATCAGTTTGTATATGAATCGCCCCACTTACTGGTGCTTATCGATAACGGTTGGCAGTCCCGAGCCTTCCTAACAAGATTTACAACAACTTATCCAGAATTATGACCTGAGGAGGAGTAAAATATTGTTACCGGAGAGTTATTTGTTTGTTTTCAGGAAAGGGGCGCCTGTATCCAGCGTATAGCCTGAGCGGATCAGAAGGAGAGGACTCGCCGCGCAGATACGGCTCCCAGCACACGTACCAGCACCCTCTCTATCAACAGCCCGCAGGCCTCAGCGACACCCCCACCTCCGAGAACGCTTCGGACGCCACCCTCACCGATTCCGAGCTGGCTCTGGCCAGGGATTCCACACTGCTCGTACACAACGGTGAGTGGAGTATTTACGTTTGTTTAGGAGGCGTCCTCGTAGACAATCTGACCTGGTTTTCCGAGGTGCCTCAGGGATCCGTTTTAAGCCCACTCGTTTTTTATGTAAAATTACACATTAGATTATTGGTTACTCTCACAAAACACTGTTATCGTAAATGTAAATTTACAAATCAATTTATGTATATTTACGATACCCAAAGCGTAATTGTACTAAGAAACAGAGACCTTACAGTATTTTGAAGAAGAAAGAAGAACTGCGGTGTAGCGTTTCTATAAACTTTTTTACATAAAATAAAGAAAATAAAGAAAAAATAAATAAATTAGAAGGATTTGTTAATGCAGTAAATGATACATATTCCCTGGTGTGAAATATAATTTTTTGTTTTATTCATAAAAACAAATAATATGAATTGTGGTTTATAAAATTAATTAAACAGATTTCTTAAAATAATAGTACAATGAAAAACTTGATGCAACGGGTTGAAATTAACAAAATAACATTTAAAAGTATACAAGATATTATTCAGGAGCTCTACCAACAAGTGATGTCCCCAAATTAGATGGATGCCAAAATCACTTTAAACAAAAACGCTTCCTAATGCAGCTAGGGCCCTATGAATATGGTGCCTTATATTCAACTAAAAAAAAAAAAGTTCTTAAAGAAAAATTCATTTAAAAAATAAAAGTTGATTTTTGAAGTCTGGTAGAACAATACTGTATAGTTTTTATGTCAAACAATTTTTAATGTTTTGATGAAAGTTTGTTTTGAAATTATTTGTTTTGCTTTTAATAATGCTATATTTATTTTCGGCAAATGACAAAGTAAGTTCAACAGTAAAAAATGACAATAAAATTAATGACAATAAGAGCAAAACAAACCAAAACTAAAAAAGATGACCCATATGATCCATTAGTTTCAATACATAAATTTATTATTTTATTTAAAAATCGCCGAATTCTTGAAAAAAATCCACTGTTGTTCCTCAATTTGTTGCAAGTATCTTGGAAGGACTCCAGCTGCAGTGGAAAGAGTTTTTTTATAAGGTTTACTCAAATCGGCATAAAAAACATCTACTGAATTTGGGGTTATCGTTTGTCGTAGGGTTTCTGAACACCCCGTACATTATACAATTTCTATAAAGAACCAAAGTATCTACTTGTTTAAATGACAAAATATTGTATCTGGCACTTAATTTTTTACACGCTATTTTATGGCATTTATCGTTCAATATTTAAATTTAAAAATGAATTACGAAATTCGTTTTCTTTAGACTTAGGTACTTAGGTACGTTGGTAAGCCCTAACCACAATTCAGTGCAGCAATGAGAAAATCTGGAAAACCTCTTTAATTAGGGGGATGATCAAACACCGATCGATATCAATCTCTCACATTGACTCGAGCCAACGTTCTTCCAGCCTACAATACCCACAAAGAGTGTACCTAATTCCTCTCTACGAATATAGCTGATCTATGGTGGGGATCGAACCCGCGACAGTGGCAATCATCCATTCAAGTATTGACGACTCAAACCGGTCGGCCACCGACCGGTTA